ATCTGGGTGGTGACCAGGTGGTATGAAGCACATTCCACTTCTTAATAATGGACTGCACCGTACTTAAAGGGACTGAAATTTTCTTGTAACATTCTCATGATCTGTGCTTCTCTACCACTTTATCCCTGACTTGTTTGGAAAGCTCTTTGGTCTTCATGGTTAATTTGTCGTATCACTATGTGAGTTGTGGCTTGAAAAGATGCATTTACTTTGAATTCAAGTTAAACCACTTTGATTATACACAGACAGAGACCATTACACTAATTTTGAGACCTTTGATACTAATCTTTTGCACCTGAACTTATTTAGGATTGCTGTAGCAAAGACATTGAATACTTATACAATTGAGAATATATTAATTTTCTTTGAAAATCGAACTTACTTACATAATATAAGTTTTTTTTTAACTTTCTCAGTTTGGAGTAGATTGTGTAGATTCTACATATAACGTCCCATTTGAAAGTTTCGTGATTGCAAGCTCAGACGGTAACAAAATGTGGAAACATTGTAGGGGTGAATACGTTTGCAAGGCACAGTATCTCCTCCCTCATCAAATGCATTTAGAAGAAAAAATCACACCCAATGTCTGAATAGCTGAACATTAAACTATACTATTACCAAAGTCTAATTATTAATTAGTAACTATTTTTTATATTTATAACTACATACTAATTACTAACTAATTTATATTTTAAGTCTTGGCTACTAATCTGGTTCCCGTCTTCAGAAAAGTCCTGAGAAGGACACCTCCTTTGTTGGTAGTTGAAGATGGCCACTATAAGGAGGTCAAGTCTAATCCAACAGCTAACACAGAATTATCCATCTCTTTAAGAAACACTAGAACCTACTTGGAGAACAAACCATTCAAACAACTAACAGTACACCCCAACCTTATATATGGTTTATATAAATTTCATGAATAACTCCATCCCATAGTTAATTTCACAGCTTCATTGCGTAATCCCCTAGCTAGATATATGGTAGATACAATACTATCGTTAACAGGTAAAACATCCTTATATACTAAGAACTCAATCCATTTTGTAAAGATTATGTAAAGAAGCACGAGACCCCCCCCCCAAGGTACAATGATTAGCTTTGACGTATCCAACATCTTCATTAACATAGCAACCCCTGACACACTACAGTTACTCTGCCACGGCTTAAAAATGATAGAACTCTTAAGGAACCAACTGACAATCTCCAGATAACAGATATCACAACCTTCTGTGTCAGCACAACGTACTTCCAACATAATGATAGATACTACCAACAAAAAGAAGGCCTAGCCACAGATTCGCCTCTATTACGTATACTCATTAAGTTATAAATTAAATATTCGAAGTCATAACCTCAAATCAGCTCCTCTACACCGTACAATCTGGCTTAGATATGTTGAAGATGCATTGGTAATACGAACACAAACACTACAGACAATATCTCGTGATACAATTCACGGTGGAAATAAAAACAAAATAAACCCCCATTATTTCGCGTGAGACATATAACTCATACCCGAGTAGTTTACAGGAACCCAGAGATATGAATAAATACCTTGACTATAAATGAAACCATCCCAACAGTGTAAAGTCAAGTTTCAAGAATAAACAATACCAAAAAAGCTAAAAAGAAGGAAGAAAGAAGAAAACCACATTATTACAACCCTCCATAAAAATGGATACCCTCGGTTAAAATTTTAGCTTAA